ATCCTAAGGAGCGCGTCGTAAAATTCCGGATCAAGAAAGAGAGCTTAGTCAAGGCTTACTTGAAACGCTTTAGTTGTGCATATACGGATCTGGCGAGTCATCGCATGGACAATAGGACCGAGCTTGACATATAAGACGTATGTATGCTAGTATGCTCTTTTGCCGGAAGGTAGGACTAACTGCTAGTAATGGGTTCCTATTTATCTAACGCTAATATACAAGTTGAACACCTCGGAAAAGGATAAACTCGCTATGTACGTGCAAGATCTATATATCGTCATTCGTGCGCACTGGGTTGAAGATACTAAGACTCTCCACGGTTGGCTCCAGGTGGAGATTTTTTTTTAAATCCTTACTAGTTTCGGCTGCTATAAGGGCGCCATACCTAGATCGTCTATCTGAGCTAGTCTATATTGGGTATATAGAAACAAATGAAGCCGATCTCCGTGCCGGACGCTTGCAGAAACTGTCACGGTTTGGACTTGGTGTTCCTCGGTGTTCGGATCTTTGGTTGTTCCGGAGTCACGTGATTGGGTCACGTGCTCCACTTGCGGAGTTATCTTCCCGTTTTCCTTGCTGCACCTTCCAACCTCGTGCAACGTCTTGTATGTTACTCCAACAAATCAAGTTTTAGTATCAAGCCTCCCTGCATCGTGACAGAAACATAGGAAATCAAAATGCCTCAGTAGATCAGATCCTGCAACAAGCCATTATCACTCTTTCAAAAAGTATTACCCTCCGCTGCCAGCCGCTGCTCTATATGCCAATTGGCTGCTTCATTGTGCCACCGCAGCGTGTTGCTGTCGGGTAGCCCTCTCTAGTCCTACAAACATCGTCTTCACTCTCCGCCAGTCTCTATTCATCGTACGGTAAGTTGACTCCCTTAAATTGGCTGAGGAGTCTTGTTGCTGCCATAAATCTTGCTGCCTGTGCAGGTTCCGTTAATAAGGCCTTGTGGTTTCGTGGTTGACCTAGTCCTTGCCATATCTCGCTTCTTAGCACCGCTTGTTGAGGGTATAGCATTAGCACGTGCTTAACGTCTTGCATTCCTGTGCCGCAGGGGCATTAGTTGTTGTCTTCTGCTTTAATGGCCGCCAGGTAGCTCCGGAGTCCAATCTTGCCAGTCCGCATCTGTGTGATGATTGAACTAAGCGGTTTCGGCGCGTCGGCATAGATAGCCATCCTGTTCTTCTTGCTTGGAGCCTTCACCACCCGGTATAGCTCCCTGCCTGTAATACCGTTCGTCCAGGCATCATTCTAGGCTCTTTTCAGCATAAGCTTATACTCCCTTCTGCATGCAGAGCGGAGGCATCTTAGCTGCTGTAATCGCTCCGCGGTAGGGCCCCTCTAGCGCCCGTTGCCGCGTGCTCCCCTTGGTCTCCAGCCTGCTGCTCTCTTGGCCAGCTCGTCGACGTGTTCGTTGCCTGGCACGTCCGTATAGGCAGGGATCCAGCGGATCTCCGTCTCTACGCGTGCTCCGGAAGCACATTAATGAGGCGGACGATCTCTCTTAGGATATACTGGCCTGATTAGTTCCTTAGCCTCCGTGACGAGTGGATTGCGGCCTGGTTGTCTGTGAAGATCCAGACCTTCCGGATTGATCCAGCGTGCTGGACCGCCATCGTCAGGGCCTGCTGTATACCCACCAGCTCGGCGGAGTACACGGTGCTCCACTTGTTCGTGCCCATATAGGCTGCTGCCTCTTGATTCTTGCTAGGAGCCCATGCTGTGGCTCCTACATGCCCGCCAATCTCGCTCCCATCAGTGTAGACTACTAGCTACCCTCTCAGGGGCTGCTGGTTGTTAACCGTTAACTCTTCCTGTATCGCCTTTAGGATATCGTCGTGCTGCTTAATTGCCTCTTCTGCCTCCGGCGCTATGGAGATCCTCGGTGGGTTCCACCATGGCTCTACTATAGCCGGCTGCTGGTTCTCGATATGGCGCAGAGCATTATCTCCTAGCTTCTTCCTCATCGTGCTCTCTAGCTTGTAGAGAGGGCTGGACCATCTCTCGTTTGCCAGGCTATCCTCTGCTAGTCTCCTGATTCTCCGTATCCTTCTGTAGAGCGGCGTGCCCATGATTCGTACCACCGTGGCTGATAGCGTCTTGCGGAGTTGCTGTTCCATTGGTAGGATATCGAGTTCGACTTCTAGTGCGGCTTTGGCTGTGGTTCGGAAGCTGCCGCTGATAAAGCAAAGAGCTTTATGCTGGACAGCCGCAAGCTTCCGGATACACTCGTTAGCCTTCCCCTTTGTTCCCCAGCCTCCTTCTGGGATAAACCACGTGCTGCACCCGTACAGCATCCTTGGTAGGACGGTTGAGATGTAGAGCTGGCGCATCTGCTCTAGTCCCACCCCCATATTGATCTGGCGATTGCTGCCAGCGCTCTTGTCTGTTGCTCTGCTGATTTGATAGCTTCCTGGAGGTGTGCATTGCCATTCAGCGCTGAGTTAAGGTAGACCCCTAGGTACCGCGCTGAGTGGGACGGTTGAATCGTCTGTGTCTCGCCGTCTAGCAGTTAAAGCACTAGCGGCATCTCGTTTTCCTGGATCTGATCCTTCGTCTTGGCGAAGTGCATCAGCTGGTACTTCCCTGGGGCAAATACTGAGGCGTGCCTCCTTGCTAGCCTCAGTGCTTTTCGATGCAGCCAGTTGAGCAGGAGGACGTTATGCTCGATCGTTTCTAACGTAACAACGATAGCAATATCGTCGATATACCCTGTGATAAGGATACTAGTGTTTTCGTCCTCCATCTCTAGCGTGTCGGCGTTATAGAAAAGGTACAGTATTGGTGAGAGCGGTGACCCTTGCGGGATACCTGTGTTGATGGTAAACTGCTGCGTGAGGCCCTCTTGCAGCCGAATGGATGAGGTGCGTGTAGTGAGGTAGCTTTGGATCCACTCTACCATTTCTGGGGGTAACTTCCGCTTGCGGAGGTTGTGTAGTAGTCTCTCGTAGGAGACGTTGTCGAATGCTTCTGCTACGTCCAGGAATAGGACGCTGGTTGCCTCCGGCTGTCTTATCCGCCATCCTGCGTGGATCCTCTCCATAAGTAGGTGGACTGCATATTCGGTGGAGGAGGCCTTCCTTCCTCCACAGTGGGTGATTGGCAGAAGTTGGTAGGTCTCTACCACGTGTTGGATCCTCTTGGCTATCACGGAGTCCATGATCTTGCCGAGTGTGTTCATAAGGGCGATTGGGCGGTACGATTTTGGCTGTGTGTAGTCGGATTTGCCTGCCTTGCGGAGAACGACTGTGGTTGTGTCTTTGAATGGTACTGGGCAGTGCTGGAGGTCGACGCAGCGGTTGAATACAACCGTCGAGGCTGGCACCAGCGTCCCTCCTGCCATTTTCAGTACTCTGTTCGGTATTTGGTCCGGTCCAGGCGCCTTATCCGGAGAGACGTCTCTCAGCGCTTCGCTGATTTCCTCCTGTGTGATCCTTGGCATCGGTATTGGCTCTATATAGTTAAAGTTGAACGTGTCTGAGAGGTCGGCTGGCGGCGGTTGCGGGAAGAAGACCTCCTTAAACGCCCGTGCTTTCCCTTCGAGTGTGGTAGCTGTTTGGCCGTTATTGGATTTGATGTCCGGCGTGAACGATGATGTCTGAGCTGTCTTCCGATTCTTAGCCCATTTAGCTAGTCTCTATAGTCCTGCCATATCCCTCACTTGTACTACTCTTTCCCTATCGGCGTTCCGATTTGCGAGGCTGATTGCCTTCTTCTGCCGTCTCTTTGCTTGCTGCCATTCGATCAGGTCCTCGTCTGATCCTGTTGCTAGGTATGTCCTCTTGCACCTCTTAGCCTCCTGTAGAGCCTCCGTGCATTCTGGGGTCCATCCATGTCTTGATTTCGCGTGCAGACGCGTCTTCGGCGTCGACGCGTCTACTACCTTTAATAGGGCGCCCTGGATAGCGCTCACTGCCTCGTCCAGGTCTCCCTGTGTCCTGATTTGTTCGACCTGCGGCATGTGCTCCTGCAATACCTGGTTGAACTTCCTCTTATCTGTCTGGCTGAAGAGCCGTCTTTCTATCCCCTCCTGCCTCTTTACCCTATACCCAGCTGGGTATGGATCGGCCTATGGTTTGAGTCCCCTTCCACTACCGTATTCACGTCACACTCGATCAGGTGTTCGACGAGGTCCTCTGTGGCGAATACTAGGTCGATTGTGCTGCCTGTTCTTGCACGTCCCTCCGGGTTTCGGGTGATTGTCCCGGGTTCTAGGCAGAGAGAGAGTCCCCATCTATGCATCAGGTCCTTCCGGTAGTCGACGGACGCTTTACATGACGTTGGGACTCCCTCGCCCCCCCATTCACTGTCTTTTAGGTTGAAGTCTCCCACTACGAGGTTGCTATCGTCCCTGGTTCTTTCCAGCGCGGCGTCCAGCTCCGGCAGCGCGCTGTTAACTGGTATATTCTCTAGGTGCTCGTGGCGTGGTCCTGAGGCGTCTAGGTTATATACGTTGTGGATTGAGATGGTGTTCTTCCTTCCCTCATGTTGGTACGTGATATGGACTGTGTTTAGGCATCGTCCGAAGTCGGTGATGCGGATATCCTTAATTGGGATATTCTTCTTGATGAAGAAGCACACTATAGCCTTCGGGCTCTGTGGGTAGTATGTGTGGTACCGGTCCTTTACTGGGTTATGCGTTATCCTATCCTTAAACCGCCAGGGCTCTTGGATAGCGATAACGTCGTACTTCCATGTCTCCTCGTTCCTCATCAACTCCGCTATGACTGTATAGCTCTTGCGAACGTTGTACTGTAAGATTGAGAAAACCTGGTATGGTTGTACCGGCATTACTCTTCCATGGCGTCAGGATCCTGTGATTCCTCGGTTTCCTGGGAGGCTCCTGATACCGCAGTCGCTGCGGTTGAGGCGTTTGAGCCTACTGCCGATACCCCACTGACCTCTGATGATGAAGACCCGACTGGGTCGGATCTTACTACCTCCTCTACTAGCTCGACACAGTCTGCTAGCTCGTCCTCCCCGTCGTTGTGGCTCTAGGCCTGTTTAAGTGGCGACTTGCTTCTAGTGCTGTATGTTCTGCTGCTGCTAGCATTGGTTGGTTCGTCCCGCGGTTGTCTTGTCTTCGGCACGTCCAGGGCTAGTACCGGTAGCCCGCACAGTGTCGTTTTCTTCCCTTTACCCGTAGCAGCGCCGGGTGTTCTAGCTGGGCCTAAGTCTACCCTTGGTCTCTTCTGGCCTCTCGTTGTCGTGGCCGCCTTGGTTGGCCTTGATCCTGCCGTGAAGATCGGCGTTTGTGTGCTGCCTAGCGAGGGAAACTCCTGCGGGGTGGATGATCCAACCGCTGAGCCTCTCTGCGATACTGACGGTGATAGGGTCAGGTCTTCTGGGTAGAATGGCTGTAGCTGTATAGCGGCTTTGACCGCCTTGACGCGTTCGATCTCCTTCCTATACTCGCACTGGTTGGACCATGCGACGTGGTTGCCGCCGCAGAGGCAGCACTTCTTCTTCCCCTCTTTATTCGGGCACTCCTTCGTCCCGTGCGTGGTCTCTGCACAGTGACCACATGTATCGTCCTTCCGGCATTAAGATCCTATGTGCCCGTATCCGTTGCATTTATAGCACTACTTCATGCGCGCGGCGGGGTCGAAACGCTGAGTGGTCTTCAGGCATCCGTCGCACGTGAGGGATTGAGCACCGATCGCCGCGTTCGCCCCCTATCTCGTCTGGAATGACGCAATGAGGGAGGCAACCTTCTTCCCCTCTCCCAGCTTGGTAAGCCAGGTCAGGTTCTTGATGGTATACCCTCCGATCAGCGCCTGGTTCTCCATACAGAATCTACCGATTTCCGCCTCTTTCTTGCTTAGATCAACCGACTTGACGGGCACTCCGCGGAGCAGCACCCCGTAGGTCGGCACCTGCACCGCCGCCTTCTCTCCCAAGCTCTTTTCCCACTCCTCGTGATGGCATACCAGTTCCTCGGCCATCTTGGCTGTTTCGGCGCGCAGCAGGATGTCGCCGCTCGGAAGGATCCGTGCGGCGTTGAACCGTGCATTGTTAGGGTTAGGGTTATATGACAGCCATCCTACTATGCGTACTCGTTTACAATGAAAACTAACTAGTAATAGTACTCGCTGATGCCGTTCCTAATGCTTCTGTAGCAGTCTTCAATAGTACACTGTCACTTTCACTAATCCACAGAACAAGTAGGACAGCATCATCGTCTATACCCTAGCCTATCTAGAAGTCTGCGATATCTAGAAACAGATCTCTTCTCTCCTGCATTTTCGTTGGATGTGTGCGGAAGCAATGTTGGCCTTTCCTGCGCGGTATTCCTCGCGTTAGGTACCGTCGCTAATATCACGAATTAGCCGCAAATAGCCTTAGCTAGACGCTAACTTTGTTCGTCGTACCTAGTGATCTATTTATAGCTCTAATAGCCTGTCTTAGACGTTGGCATCTTTGATGATTGAATCCTAAGGCTGTTTCGAATCCTTGTAACGCCCGTGTATACATATCTTGCGCCTCACTTAGCTTACCCTGATCCACGTAGCGAAGGCCTAAGTTAATGACTGTGTTGAGTGTTGATGTATGCTCTGGTCCGAGTGCCTTCTCTTTTCCTTCTAGTGCCCGCTGGTACATCTCCTCTGCCTCACCTAGCTTGCCCTGATCCACGTAGAGGTTGCCTAAGTTGTTGACGGTGCTAAGTGTTGATGTATGCTCTGGTCCGAGTGCCTTCTCATATCCTGCTAGCGCCCGCTGGTACATTTCCTCTGCCTCGCCTAGCTTGCCCTGGCCCCTATAGAGGTTGCCTAAGTTGTTAACTATATCGAGTGTTGATGTATGCTCTAGTCCGAGTGCCTT